AAGGGTGGTTTGCTAAAGGGAGGGTTGTCCTTTGAAACCCTCCGGGCTTTCCTTCTCCCAGGAGATGCACCAGCATCTGATGTCCACGAAGAAGGCCCAGCTGGCTGGCCTTCAGCAGGACGCGCCGCCTGGGCCGTCCTTCGGGCGGCGCTCTGCCCCTCGCTACGCGCTCCTCCTGCTGCTTGTTCCCCCTCCTCCTCCCCCTCCTCTCCTCTCGCCCTCTCCGCTTCTCGCTCCTCCTCTCCTCTCCCCCTTCCTGCTCCACCCACTACTGCTCCTCCTCCTCCTCCTCCTCCTCCTCCTCCTCCTCCTCCTCCTTGTCCCTGGGTAAACAGATACGCTCGTGTGCCCCCCCGGGAGGCGCCCCCCGTCTACTCCAGCCTCGCTCCTCGCTCCTCCTTTTTCTCCCCCCTGCTGATCCCCCCGGGGTCGTTGGGAGGCCCGCGGGCGGCGGGCGGTGCTCGCCACGGGGAGGCCCGCCCCTCCACCTCCTGCTCCTCCTCCTCCTCCTCCTCCTCCTTCTCCTCCTCCTCCTCCTCCTCCTCCTCCTCCTTCTCCTCCTCCTCCCCCTCCTCCTCCTCCTCCTTTTCCGCCTTCTCCCCCTCCTGGCACCTGTGCCACTGGGGCCCCTTCCCAGAAAAAACGGATCGTCACCCTTGCTTGCCCGTAGGGGGCCACGGGGAGAGAAAATTGTTCCTCGTCGCCAGCGGCCACCCATGGAGTGGGTGGTGGGCAGTTTGGGCGTCGGAGCACGGCCTCTGGCGCCCCCTACCCCGAGCAGGGCGCGCGGAGCACGGTCCCCTTGCGTGCCCTGTCTCGCGCACCGGAGCACGTGCTCCTCCTGGTCCTGGCCACGGGGGTGCGTGCCCCGTCGGTTGGCCCGCAGTACCTGCGCCTGTGGGCTATGTCAGTCCTCGCTGGCGCCTGCGGGTCTTGCAAGCCTCGCCCGCAGGAATGCCCGTCATGACCGGCGGGAGAGGGTGCAGCGGCACAAATCCTCCCCCTCTTCCTCCTCCTCCTCCTCCTCCTCCTCCTCCTCCTCCTCTTCCTCCTCCTCCTCCTCCTCCTCCCTCCTCCTTCCCTCCTCCTCCTCCTCCTCCTCCTCCTCCTCCTCCTCCTCCTCCCCCTCCTCCTCCCCCTCCTCCTCCTCCCCTCCTCCTCCTCCTCCTCCTCCTCCTCCTCCTTCTCCTCCTCCTTCTCCTCCTCCTCCTCCTCCACCTTCTCCTCTCTTCCTGCTGCTGCTCCTCCTCCTCCTCCTCCTCCTCCTCCTCCTCCTCCTCCTCTCGACGGCGCGCCGACGGAGGAAGTGCGAAGGACAGGCCTTCCCAGGAGGAGGCGAGGCTTCTCAGGGGCCCAAATGAGGGGGGTGGCCTAAATTGAGGGCTGAAGACGCTGTCCCACAGGGGCCCTTCGGGTTAAGGCGGGCCTGTCGCTCGGAATATTCAGGGGACGATGTTTCTAGTATTTTTGTACGTGCTTTCGAATATGTACTGAGCATGTTTAATTTTTATCCCGAGTTCGGCCTGTAGGAGGACAAGCCCGACCTAACCTTTGGGGCTCCTGCTGGAGCCAGCAGGGGCCCAAACGGTCCCCGTGTTGGGGCGCTTTCCTTACCCCCTTTGGGTCATCCCCCACTGCTGCCCGCCCCAGGGCGGCGCCGCGCGCCGTGGGGGGGAGGGGCAGCGCCGATCGGCGAAGTCGGGGCGGACCCACCAGAGCATGCGCGTGGCCCCCTGCTGTCCTGTCCCCCCGGGGCAGCAGAGGCGAGCCCTGGGAGCGCTGGAGCCCCGATCCCGGCGCCCTTCACATCCCGGGGGGGGGTGGTGGTGGTGAGGTCGCGGTTCTGAGGTGCCCCCCTGGCCCCGAACGCCTGAACGCTGAGATCACGGTGCCGTTTTTTATATATTGAAAATCGTGGATCAAGTGCTTGTCCCCTCATCTGTCTCGCCTTCCCCCCCTCCATTTTCTTTTCCTATTCCCCAGTATCTCTCTCTATTTCTCTCTCTCTCTCTCTTCCGCCTCTGCCTCTCTGTCTATCGCGCTTTCTTTGTTTTTTTTTTTTTCTGTCTCTCTCTCTCTCTCTCTCTCTCTCCCTTGTATATATATATATATATATATATATATATCAGTAACAGTATGTATTGTTTGTTGTTCTCTCTCTCTCTCTCTTGCTCGCTCTCTTTTTTTGTTGTCTCTCTCTCTCTCTCTCTTTCTCGCTCCCCCGACCTCCAAAGGGGTGCGCTTCGGACTTGCGCCTCCGCATCGTGGCAGTCCGCCCCCGCCTTTTCATCGCTCCCACAGTCTCCCGATCTGGGCACAGATCCCCTCCGCATCGTGGCAGTCCGCCTCCTCGTCCTCATCGCCTCCACAAACTTCTCGATCCGAGTGCAGCTTCCCCCCTTTTTTTCCCGGGTGCGGCGCGAGCGGGCCGCGCCCCCCCCCGCCCCCCCCTTCGTGTTCTCGCAGGTTCCCATATCTCTGCCTCTCTCTCTCTGTCTACCTCTCTGCCTCTCTGTCCATCTCTCTGCCTCTTTTTTTGTTTCTCTCTCTCTCTCTCTGTCTATCTTTCTGCCTGCCCATCTCTCTGCCTCTCTCCCATGTCTCTCTCTCTCTCTCTGCCCATCTCTGTCTGCCTCTCCTGTGGTCTCGTTCCCTCTCTCCCCGTTTCTCACTCCATCTCTCCTTGTTGTTTCTCCCTCTCTCTCTCTCTCGCTCTCTCTCTCTCTCTCTCTCTCTGTATCTATATATATATATATATATATGAATGTCCTTCTCCCTTCTTCTCTCTCTTTCTCTGCCTTTCTCGTTTTTTCTTTTTACCCATCCTCACCCTTCCTCTTCGGAGGGGCTCGGTCTAAACCCCTATCGTTTTGTCGGCCATTGAGCCAAGAAGTCTAGCGCCCCAGCGCTACATCGCCCCCCCACAGATTGGGAAGTTGGGACGTCTGTACGGCCAGCTTATTGGCCAACCTGGCGACGTGGCGTACATTTTGAGCCCATTCCACTCGTCCTCCGCTCGCCTCCATGCCATTGACGGGTTGGCCTCTTGACTTTAGCCCCGTGGCGAAAACAACGAGTTGCTTGCAGAAGTTGGCAGAGGTAAGCCGAGTGCGGGTGGCAGGATGAAAATGTTCGAAATAGTGTGTTCAGCGAGAGCTTGCGTTGAAAAGGAACCGCCCAGCAACCGTGTATTGGTTTGCATATAATTCGGCCGACTTTTGTCGCATTGCATTTTGTACGAGTCAGGGCAGCCCACCCAGAACCGACACACACTCTCTCTCTCACACACACACACACGCACGCACGCACGCAGCACACACACACACACGCACACACACACACACGTTCATTGTGTATTGTCGTTGTGTTGCCTTCGCCAGTCCCCTATCCATATCCATTTTTATCGTGTTCATGAATATTGCCCTGAACGCTGCCCTTCGAAGGAATCTACTGAGAAGAAGCAGATGAAGAGGGAAGTGCAGCTCGAACTGGTTGAGGTCAAGGCCCATGCCAAAGGGGCAACTAAGACCATCAAGGACCCGCGGCCAGCTTGTCACTCATAAAAGGCGATCGCAGAGCGTACCATTACGTGCAGCGGCGAGATCAGCGGTAGTCGGCATAGCTTGATGGTGCATGGCTACATCTAGTCAGGTGTGTAGCAGTGTTCAGAAGTGTGGTGGCGTCGCGAAAAAAAGCGACTCTCCGAGCAGTGGCGGTCGAGATGATGCTTGATGGAAGCAGCCATGGCGTGACCGACGACGACGCCAGTACTTCGCGACAGCACCGACGACGGCGACGGTGGCGATGCCGACACCAGGAACGCCGTGGAACCAGTTAGTATCTTGGTCTGAGTCCGTAGGCTGACACCAGCGCTGGCGAGACCGCATGCATCTTCTCGTGGGCAGGCTTGACGCAGGGCGACGTTGGTCCGCGGGTGGGCGAGCCGCTGCGGGGAAGGTGGTGACCACGGTGAGGGCAGAGGTTGGTTGTGAAAGGGCGCACAGGTGATTACATTGCCAAGGCTTTGCCCTAAGAGGCAGTGGGAAAGGAAGCAACCTCTTTTGCGGCCGCAGCATCGCCAAGACCAACGAGAAATGCCATGGGTAAGACCCATGGGAGGACATCATAGGAGCATGGAGCCCTTTTCGATATCAGCGTGGCCAGTTGCCCTAAGTTTTGACTGCAGGTCGGCGCCAAGCACGCGAAGATAGTCGCAGCTCGCGCTCCTCACTCCCCGCCTCTCGCCCTCGTCGCTCCTCAGTGTCGGGCGCACAAAGGTGATTGCGCCCCTGTCGGCTCGAAGCGCGAATGCAGCTGACCCGTAAGCCTCGAGGGCATTTCAACACTTGCTCGTCTGGACTACCAGGAAGCTGGATGTGCATGACGCCGCCAGCCTGGGCGAGGGTCGGCTGCGCATGTGGCCAGGTGTCGTCCCAGCGCTCGGCGGTTTCATGGCTGGGCAAGCCGGCAATTGGCGTGTACCCAGCCCGTGGCCTGCGGATGTTCCACGTGTGATTCCAGCCGTGCGCGTTCCGGCTGCTCTGTGCAGCACTACGCCCCCCCTTCGTCGGGGGGCACGTGGCGGGGGTCAGCGCCGTCGATGGTCGGCCGATCCCCTCGGACTGGCCCGCGTGTCTGGGAGCCACGTGCACAGTCGAGACGCTGAGATAAGGACCACTTTGGGCCCAGCAGTGGCTCGTGCTTTCGGGTCGCTCCTCTGGTCTGGGTCGAGGGCCCTATGCGTGGCCGATGCTCGCCGTTGCCAGAAGAGCCTCGTTGCTCCGTCTTCGTCGGCGTTCCTCGTGGAAGCACGCCGGGTGCAGCCGACCTCCTCCCCCCTTCCTTCGCGGACCTGGGCCTGAGAGCCACCTGCGGAGCTGGCCTCGGTTGGCGACGTGGCCTCGGTTGACTGCCTCCTCCTCCTCCTCCTCCTCCTCCTCCTCCTCCTCCTCCTCCTCCTCCTCCTCCCGGCACGGGCCAGCGGCACCACTTCAGACCTCCGACGTCGTGGCTTTGTCGCAGCGCGGACCTCCGGGGACCTGGGCCCGCAGGGCCCTCGCGCCTCGCCCCAGGCCGTCCTCTGGCGGTCCCGGGGCCCGGCGAAGAAGGCCCCCCGCGGCCGAGCATGGCGAAGACCATCGCGTCGTGATCTTCCCTGCGGCGCGAGGGGGGGCGCCTGGGATGCCGAAGCAAAGCGGAGCGTCCTCGCGGCGGTGGGCGGTGCCTATAGCTGCTCCGCGCCAGCCCCCAGGCGTCGGAGAGAGGGGGGCGCTGCCAGTTCAGGCCGTGCATCCCCTTGCCATCAGGTCCCGAGCAGGCTCGCCCACCGTGCTGCGTGCTTGGCGGTCATCGGCCTCGCGTGAGAGCGACCCTCCGCCAGAGCGACGAGTAATAGCTGAGAAGCCGTTGCCCCCCCTCGCCGCCACGGCCGCAGTCGCCTCGGAAGCCTGGCTGGAGCTGGTCGAGGTCCAGAGAGTCATTCGCGGCATCGGCACTTTCTCGTTCTTCCAGAGACTGTTTTTTGTTCAGGGTCGGGCGATAAACCGGGTTATCAGGCTTGCCCCCCCTTCCCCCCCCCAGGATAACCTAACCTTGCCGGTTGTGCAGGTCCGCGGGAGGGGGGGCGCGGGCATACGAAGGGCTGCCCACAGCGCGAGGGTCAGGTTATCGGCCGGCCCCCTCCTCCTTCCCCCCCCCGGGATAACCCGGGCTATCGCCGATTTCCAGAAAACGGTCTCCTAGCGGCCTCGTGTGCGGGCCCACCGGGGCCAGCCTTGGGCTTCAGGCGGCTCGCCTGCTTCGACCCCGGCGGCCCGTGGCCCCCTAAGAGTGCCGCACCGACGGTGGGCTTGTTCTCCACCACCACCATGAGTTGGAGGGGGAGGGGGTCTTCCTCCTCCTCCTCCTTCTCCTCCTCCTCCTGCACCTCCTCCTCCTCCTCCACCCCCTCCCCCCCCCCCTCCTCCTCCACCCCCCCCCCTCCCCCGTCCTCCTCCTCCTCCTCCTCCGCCTCCTCCCCTCCCCCCTCCTCCGCCTCCTCCCCCTCCCCCCTCCTCCGCCTCCTCCTCCTGCTTCGTCCTCCTCCTCCTCGTCCTCCACGTCCTTCTCCCCTCCAACTTATGATGGTGGTGGTGGTGGAAAACCGGCCCATCATTCGAAGGTCACTCCTGCCTAGTGTCACTCCTAATTACGTGTGGCCGACATCAGAGGTCGGAACGGGGTGTGGTGCATGTGAGCGTGGTGCCAGTGCTGGAGACTTGCGATTCTGTCGACGATGGCCGCGATCACGATGCATTATTGTGGTTGCAGCCACGCTGGTTGCCTGACGACCGCCTCGAACGGCCTCGGAAAGTGGGATTCCAACTTTCTCGAGCGACCGCCGACCGACCTGAACCGCGGTGCAAAGACCCATCCCAGAGCATTCCATCGCCAAAGTAGGTCGACCCTGCCAACTTAAGAATGCCTTTGTGTCCTGTGTGATGGCAGTACGGCCCTCGGAAGCGTCTTGCGTCCACTCGCATGTTCTCTCTAATCAGCGCAGACTGCAGGCATTCCGGAATTTCCGTTTACCACCCTATCGCCAAAGCAGAAGTTCTGGAATGGTTGAGTTTGGAAGTCGCATTGATCATTACAAGCCTAAAATCCAGAAATCACGGAACTACCTTTTGCGAAACCACATAGTGATTCTGGAGTTGTTGAAGCCACAAAATGTAATCCAAGAGTTTCCAGATTCATTGTCCCGGAGTGATATGTTTTGATCGTCAAACTTTAAGAGTGCAGCCCATTCACGATATATGCGCATGGTTGGCATCGGCAAAACATATGAACACGCTGAATGATGCTGGCGTCAGAGCGATGTGCAAAGTGCGAAGCGCAGCGTATCGATGCTAACATCTCAATGCCGCGTGGTACATGTATTTCTTCCCCATTCTGTTGCGCCTTTCTGCGGCCACTTGCGCCACCTACCCCTGCGAGTCCCATCCACGCTGGAGCAGCGGACCCCCCCGCGGCCCGTTGGGCTTCACTTCATTGCAGACAGGTTTCTAGTCCTAAGCCCTTGCTGGCTTCTCTTAATGTTCACCCCTGCAGAGTTCATAGACATTCGGCTGCTCCATTTTTTTCGATACGTGGGTCCTGGTTGTTTCGACCACTTCCCTATAGGGTCGGTCTTTCGTCCCGGTTCGTTGTTTGACGGTCCGGAGGTCCCGCGGAGGCCGAAGACGGTCAAATACCGCCCGTTCCAATGTTTTTTTAGAAGCGTTGGATATTTGGGCTTAAATGTGGCCGCATAATTGTGGATCCACTGTTAGGTAATGCTGACCATCGGCCGTCGGCGTCTGTAGCGGTCCTCTGCGCGACAGGCGGATGGTGGCGTTGAGCCCAGGGGTCCAGGACAGAACACCTCACAAAGGTGAAGCTCGCAGGCATTCTCCCGAGCGGGCCTGGGATGACGATGAATAGCTGCAGGGGCGATCCAGAACTCGCTCAGAGCGTGCCGGAACGCCCTGACCTGAGACGGCCGCGGCGCCCGACGCGTCTTCCAGACCCGCCAGCCCTCAGAGAGTCCAGATGTATCGTCATCTGAGAGACGTCGAAGAGCGGGGGCGTCTTCACAGACACTGGCGCGTAGGTTACCTGCGCAAGGTCGCGCGAGAGCGCCCTCGTTTCCAGTCTGGCGTGCCACCGTGGCGGCCATCTTGAGCCACCGCGGACGGTCGCTGTGCCATCTCGCGTAAAGCCGGTTTCTTCTCGTCGATCATCTAGGCTTGTGCACCGCGAAAATGCATTGCGCTTGCCGTCTCTGCGCTTTGGGCAGGCCGCTGCTTCCCCCCTCAGCATCGTCTTGCCCCACTTCTCCCTCGCTTCCTCGTCGTCCTCCGGGCCGCCTCGAAGCCAGAGGGCCCCGAGCCTCTATACAAAATCTGGTCTCGCGCAGTAGGCGGGCGGCAGAAGGGGGGGCCGGGAGGGCTGCAGAAGAAAGGGCCCTTGAGGGCCCCTGGAGGGGCCCTTTCGGGACTCTAGTTCGGGCCTCCAGGGCCCGAAAAGTGCACCTTTCTCCTCCCCCAATTTATCGCCCCCCCGTTGAGACTCGCCCCCCACCCCAAAAAATCAACGTGTGCATTTCTTGGCGACGCTCGTCGAGGGGCCTCTGCCGCTGGTCCTGTTTGGCGGGACCCGGGGGGGCCTGCAGCGGAGAGCCCGCGGGGCGCGCCGCTCCCAGAGCACCACCGTCCTGCTCGAGCAGACCAGCTCCGAGTGCTCCTCCAAGAACCGGTCGTGGACCGCGCGCAGCGCGGACCGGGAGAAGGAGAAGGCGCCTGGCTCAGCGGCACCGTCGGCAAGACGTAAGAGTGAGTCTTTGCCGGAGTGACCCTTGGTGCAGGCCCACTGGGATCCGCCGGTCGCTGCGCGCGAAGCGGTGGCAGCGGCTTGCGCGCCCTGGTCTGGCCATCCCGCGCCCTCCGTTAAGCAGCGCACCAAAGGTCACTCTTGCCTGGGGTTTCGTGTAGCCGACACCGTATTGACAGTTCACTAGCCAGTATTTTGGAAGCCCGCCGGAGGCTGCCACTCCAGGGTACTTTCGGGCATTGACGCGCTGCCCGCATCTGGGAGGATTGGGTTCGCCGGGTTGCTGCTAAAAGTGCCCGGCGTGGAGTACCCGTCAGTTGGGCGCTGACCAGCTGATTGGATGTTGTCAAATCCTTTCGGAGGCTATCCTGAGGCCTGACTGACGCCGTGAGGCTACAAGAGGGTCCACGGTCCATTCGGATCGGCTGCGTTGCTGTCGGTTGCGTTCGGTCGGTTCGGTCGGCTTGTTGTGTCGTTGCCGCGTCACTGCGGCCTTTGGTTTGCTTGCGGCATTCGGTTTCGATCGGCGTCGGTTGCGATGTCGGTTCGTGCGATCCTCCGTGGTGCCGTCGTTGTGGACGCCCATTGAACACCCGCTTGCTCCCACAACATGTCAATTTCGAGTGCGCGAAACGTTAAGAGGGTTGCGGCTTTCTAACAAGGCGGGGGGCGGAGCGTCTAAGGAGGCAGCGGGGGCTTTCTTACAAGCCTGATGATGTTCCAACCTACTTTAGCCTTGATCACCAGAAAGAATTTCGAGCGCCGAGACAGTTCCGAAACTCGAGGGGGTTTTCACGTGTCGGGCCCCAGGAGGCGTTACTCGTTCGACACTGTTTCGATGTTTTTCTGGGTGCTCGAGATTATTTCTGGGACGTAATGCTTGCGTACGTTGGGAGCAACATAATTCAAGCCCTCCATGACCCTGCTCGGAAACAGGAAGATATACATCACCAGTGGCGGGCTGCTCTTCAGTCCCAGGACTCTTTGATGGTCGGGGGCGACGTCGGGGTGATGTGGTGTAGACTTGCGTCCTCGCTTTTCTGGGGGAAACCACAAAACAATGTATGCACCAGGTTCCCGTATATACACCAGGATCCGCCTCCTTGTGCGAGAGTCTCGGTGCGGGGCCGAACCACAAAGCGTCGGTGCACAGAGCGCGGCTCCGCACCTGCCTCTCAGAAGCGCTACCAGCCTGGAACATATCCCTATTCCTATGCTGGGCACCTTCTCATCACGATGCTAATCTTAGGGATTCCTTATTTTTGGGGGGCGGATCCCTAAGATTGTCATCGCCGTTTGGCGTGTCAATCTCAGGGACAGGGATACGTTCGAGGCTGGTAAGAAGTAGCCCCCCGCCCCGGCCCCGCCGAGAAGGCCGCCCCTCTCTCGCACCACTCCCTTGCGCGCACCGCCAGGGCTGCAGGCATCGGGTGGACGGGCTCCCTCTGCACTCTCCGCACTCTCCTGACTCCGGATCCGCCCTACTTTGGATTTTTTCCAACTTGAAATTGCGTCGGAAAAATCCACCTAGAAGAGGCCGAACAAGTAGGGCGGAAACGGCTGCAGCCAACATAAGATGGGGCGGAAGTCCACAGAAACAGCAAGGCGGAAATTCCAAGCCCCACTCACGAATTTCCCCAAAGTAGGGCGGATCCGGAGTCAGGGTCCCCCTCCTCGCGCTTCGGGCACTACCCTTACGTCGGGCCTGCTCCTCTCCAGGAGGAATAGATTCAGAAATCGTGCAATACAAGTAGTTGGGGGATGGCTTTCTGACAATTCTTGGCTAGTCTTCAGCATTTTGCGGAAATGTTGTTGGTTTCTCCTCCATAATCCGCCTGTAGGGGGACACGCCCGGCCTAACGCTACCGCCGTCCGCCGTCACGGTCACGCCCTTCGGGCAGCACGGGCGTTCTCGTCACCGTGTCTCTGCCCCTTGCCTCCCCCCTCCCTCGTCGAAGCGAGGGCGTAGCGATGCTTTTGCCGCTCGTGGCTCCGGGGGCCCCCTCGCCGGTCAACGACATTGCTCGGGAGCACAGGCTGGTCCTCGGGACGATCGGGCCGAACGAAAGGGGGGGATGGGGAAAGGGAGGGGGGTACGAAACCTGCCGCATGCCGCTGGTTTCGGCGCCACCGAGGGGCCCATTCCTCGATACATGGCCGCGGTCCGGCTCCGGGAGGCGCCGGGAAAATCGGCCGCGTGAGCCGATTCTCCCCCCCCCCCCTCTGCTATCCCCCCCTGTCGCCGGGCCCGAGACGAGGTCTGGGCGTCTGGGGGGCCGACGCTGCGAGCGGTGGCACCCCGCCGGAGGTCCGGGGCGGGCGGCTGCACGCGAGCGCCTCGCGGCGCGCCCTGCTGCGCTGCCCGCCCCGGAGCCCGCGATCGACTGCTGCCCTCGGCGGCGCGCTGTCCGCTGCGGCACGCCGTGCGCTGTGGCCCAGCAGGCATCGGGCCCGACGAGTACAGGCCTGAGCCGGGCGTGCCCCTCTGCAGGAGGAGTATTCCAGGGCGGTAAGAAATCAGTCTGGGGACGACTTTGCTACCATGGTGGGCAGTTTTTGAATGTTTGGGTTGGCGGTTTCTTCTTTGCCCAAGACCCGCCTGTAGGAGGACATGCCCGACCCGAATATAGGCAGGATAGGGCAAGGGGGAGTTACGAACTCTGCTGCACGCATCTGGTTCCGGCCCCGCCGCCGGGCCCATTCCTCGATGCGTGTGCGCCTGCCGGCGCTCGGGAGGCGCCAGCCAGGCGAGCTGATTCTCTACCTTACCCTTTGCTGTCCTACCCTTTCGCCCCCCCCCCTCTGAAATCAATGGGGATCAGTTGGTTGTTGAAATCAATGGGGATCAATGGGGATCAGTTGGGAAATCAATGGGGATCAGTTGGTTGTTGAAATCAATGGGGATCGGTTGGGAAATCAATTGGGAAATCAATGGGGATCAATGGGGAAATCAATGGGGAAATCAATGGGGAAATCAATGGGAAATCAATGGGAAATCAGTGGGGATCTCGAAATCAATGGGGGGTGCTGCTTGTTTTGGTGGGCGTCAGAGAGCCTGCTGCAGAGCCTCCGCGGATCGAGGCGCCGAGCCTGCCGGTCAACCCTGTGGAGTTCCCCGGCGGAGGTCTGATCGGTACGCCCGAGGAGGAGGAGGAGGAGGAGGAGGAGGAGGAGGAGGAGGAGGAGGAGGAGGAGGAGGAGGGAGGAGGAGGAGGAGGGAGGAGGAGGAGGGAGGAGGAGAGGAGGAGGAGGAGGAGGGAGGAGGAGGAGGAGGAGGAGGAGGAGGAAGGAGGAGAGGAGGAGGAGGGGAGGAGGGAGGAGAGGAGGAGGAGGAGGAGGAGGAGGAGGAGGAGGAGGAGGGAGGAGGAGGATGAGGATCCTCGAGGAGGAGCGAGGCGTCGAGGACGCGAGGCTCGAGACGGGCCCCGCCGGCGCAGGCGGCCCGAGCGCCGCGCCGCGCGCACAAACCTCGCACAAACCTGGGACGGGCAGAAGATCGGGTCCATTTTAAACAGGGTTCGGTGGGCGTCGCCGCGGACGTTGTCCCCTTGATACAATACTTCGCCTGTCAAAGCGTCGCCTGCCCAACGGCGGCCGCTGGCGGTTTTTCGGAATCCTTTGCTGTTGGCCATCGTGCGCACTTTTTGCGTACCCGCTTCGGGCGTGCCAGTCTGAGTTGTTGTTTCGTGTGTTCTGGCTGATGCGTCAGACTGTGTGTGGTTCGGTCTCTCGCCAGCTCCAGTGCCTCCTCCGCCTGCAGAGTCGACGTCGCCGTGCCGCAGGTCGGTCCCTCGGCAAGTGGCGGTTGGGATTCTCCCGAGCTGGAGGGGGGGAGGTGGAGGTGCAGGCGGTCCCAGCGCCTAGAGCAGCGAGAGCGGCAGAAGCAGCAGCTGCAGGTGGCGTGGCGCGGTTGCCACGCGGCCAGGGCGCTAGAACGAGCACCGCTTGGGGCTCGGGGTGGGGCTCTGGTGTCCGGGCCGTTCCTCGGCCTTTCTGCCCTCGACGAGGTGGGGCTCCAAGGTGTGTCGCGCAGTCTCCTCGTCGTGCGCGCAAGGTGCCTGTTGGCGCCCCCCTGCTCCAAGGCTGGCCATGCGGCCGGCACTGAGCGTGTGGCGCGCCACCCGCTTTCGGGGCGTGCGCCGGGGGCTCGCCGTGGCCAGAAGAGCCCCACTCCTCCTCCTCCTCCTCCTCTTCCTCCTCCTCCTCCTCCTCCTACTCCTCCTCCTCCTCCTCCTCCTCCTCCTCCTGCTCCTCCTCCTCCTCCTCCTCCTGAGGCCACCATCCACCAGGCCATTGACGTCCTCGTCTCCCTGCAGAGCGCCGAGGCGACGCTGATAGAGGCCAAGGGCGAGGAGGATGCCCCGCTTTGCACGCGCGCGCGATGCCTGCCGCGATCGAGCCACGACCGGGCTCCGAGGGGCCGGGCCGCGCCAGCGCGGTGTCTTCGTGGCCTCCTCCGAGGGGTCGCGGCGCTGCGTCCCTGCCCCGCGCCCCGCGGCGGAGCAGGGGCGAAGTAGAGCGCAGAGAGGTCACTCCCGCGCGCCCGCAAAGGGGCACGAGATCCTGGCAGAGGGGGCGAAACAGGCAGCCACCGGCGACGACGACGACGGCGGCGGCGACGACGGTGGACGAAGATGGCGACTGGAGGGGTGCGGGAGGAGGACGGGGAGAGCGGATCTGGGAGGAGGAGAAGGAGGGCGGAGGAGGGCAGAGGGAGGAGAAGTAGGACTGCGGAGGAGTAGGAGGGCGGCGGAGGGCGAACGAGGATGGAGGGTGGGGGAATGAGAGGAGGAGGAGGAGGAGGAGGATGAGGAGGAGGAGGAGGAGGAAGAGGAGGAGGAGGAGAGGGCTGGAGAGGGCTGGAGAGGAGCAGCACGAGGGGGAGGAGCAGCAGCGGCACGAGGAGGATTCTGTTGTTGACGCCAGGCAGGCCTTCGACCCCCCCCCCACAGGGGCAGTTCAGATCCGACCGCCCCGGTTCGACGTGGGCGCTGGCCGGCCCGCTCCGACTCGGTGCCGGTGCGCAGGCGGCCCGAGGGCGGCCCGCTGCTCGCGCGGCGCAGCGGATGCATCCTGGCGCGGCCGATCCGATGTGAGTCTGGCTCCGTGCCGATGCGGCCCGACTGGACGCACTTCGGAAATTGGAGCACATACATTACCAGTGGCGGGCCGCTTTTCAATCCCAAGACTTTTTTGAGGGTTGAGGACGACGTCGGGGTGGTGTGGTGTATGCTTGTGTCCCCGGTTTCCTGGGGAATCGCGCAGAATGTATACACCAGGATCCCGTGTACACCAATATCCGCTTTCCTGTGCAAATTCTAATGCAGGGCCGGAAGAAGCGTCGGTGTACAGAGTTCGATTCCCTAACATTGGCCGGTCCGATCCGACGTTCCAGTTCGGCACTGGCCCGTCGTGCCACCAGAGCCCTCGCCAGAGTCGTCCTCCTCTCCTTGTCATCCGTTTGCTCCTCATCGCCCCGATCCTCCTCGCATTCCCTGTCCTCCTCGAGACGGAGTCGGATCGTCGACCAGGCGTTCGATCCAATGTGCGGGCAGATTCCCTCGACATCGGCTTCGAAGGCGCACGTCGTCGCCGCTCGCACCTCGACATCATGCTCCTGCTCCTGCTCGCCATCCTCACCCTCTGGCTGCGATTGGATGCCAAGTCTGCGACTTCGCCTCCGATGCCGACTCATCCCGCTGCCCTTTGGCCTTCGGGTCAGGGTGCGGCTCCCCGGCGGCCGTTCGGGACGATCCAGGCACCACCGAGCGCGGAAGAGCAAGTCCGACAACGTCCGGCTGTTCCCCCCTCCCCCTCTCCCCCCTCCACCCCTGTACTTGCGGCCCCCCCTCTCCCCCCCTTCCCCCCTCCCCCTCCTCCGAGCATGTTCCTTGGGTGGAGGGCAGAGGGTGAAGTCTGAAATGCCGTTTCGATGGATGCTCGGAGCTTGAACCTGCAGAGGGTGAGCCACAAGACGGACTGATCTTCGAGGTGCCAACAGCCCATATGGATTTCGTTCTGAGCCCTCCACCCTACGAAAATGCTCAGCTCCTCCCCCCCCCCTCTCCACCCTCCCCGCGCAGGAGCAGGGGGATGACGGCTCCGAGGACGACCTCGAGGCGTCGGTGGCCAGCTCGTTCCTGCAGCGCGGGCAGCGGCGGCAGGCGGGGCTGCCCACGGGGGCCTGGGGTTCAGTCGGGCCTGTCCCTCTACAGGAGAAGTATCAAAAATAGACACACAAAAAAAGTAGTAGCCTGGGGACGATTGTTTGAAGATTTGTTGACCATTTGAGGGCATTTGTTTGGTATCTTGAATGTTAATTTGTGGTCCAAAATCCCCCTGTAGGGGGACATGCCCGACCTAAGCCCAGGGAGGCCATTCGCAGGCGAGTTTTCTCCCCCGACCCCCGACTTCTCGACGAAGACTGCAGCCGCTTCGGGGCCCCAAGGAATACACCCTTGGGGCCCTGAAGCGAAACCCTGGGAAGGGGAAACCCTGGGAAAGCGAAACCCTCCGGTGTATCCCAGGGAAGCCCTGGGATACGCCCCAAGGGGCCCATCCGGACGCAGCCCTACCGAGGATGGACGCCCCCGCAGCGTATGTCCCAGGGTTGGGCCCAAAATGTATGGTCCGTTCGAGAGCCCTGACTTCGGATCCGCCCTACTTTGGGGAAATTCGTAAGTAGGGCTTGGAATTTCCGCCTTACTTTTCAAGCCCCGCTGATGCCAATTTCCGCCCTACTTTTCTGATGTTGTTTCCGCCCTACTTCTGTGGATTCTCGCCCCATTTTATGTTGGGTGCAGAAATTTCCGCGTTACTTTTTCGGCTCCTTATAGGTGGATTTCTGACGCAATTGTAAGTTGGAAAAAAAGTCAAAGTAGGGCGGATCTGGAGTCAGGGAGACCCACGAAGCCTGGGACAGGGGTCGACATTATCCCCTGGTCTCGGCCGGCCGAGACAACGGTGGCCCTCCTGGGGCTCGAGGTTCGAGGTCGTCGAACGCTTTTGTTTGTTGGTTCCCCGCGGTTTTCCAGCGTGCTTCCCAGCAGCTGCGCCTAAAACGACGCCAAGATCGGGACAAAATCGGATCGGGATAACTCGAAATCTCTGAGAATCGGCGGGTTTGGATGATGTATTGGGCGCCGCGGCCGCTCCAGAGCGTTCCGGAACGCTCTGAGAGCGCTCCGGAACGCTCTGGAGCGATTTATCCCGATCCTAGCTTTGTTTTAGCGCCTCACCGAGAGCGTCCTGGGGGGGCCAGGTCGTCCCGAGCGGCCGCCGGAAAGCCGAGTCCTGACCCGAAGAGCAGACGGCAGGAAAGGAGGAGTCGGAGGAGAGCCGGTCCTGTTGGGGCATCCTGGAGTCTTCTCGTCGCCACGGCCCCCGATCTCGGACGAGAGGCTTCTTTCTCACTCCCGGAGTGTTTCCTCGATGTCGGCCTCTGGGGTTCTTCATCGCCCTGACTCCGGATCCGCCCTACTTTGGGGAAATTCGTAAGTGGGGCTTGGAATGTCCGCCTTACTTTTCAAGCCCCGCTGGTGCCAATTTCCGCCCTACTTTTCTGTTGCTGTTTCTGTGGATTTCCGCCCTATTTCATGTTGGGTGCCGCAATTTCCGCCCTACTTTTTCGGCCTCTGATAGGTGGATTTCCGACGCAATTTTAAGCTGGAGAAAAAGCCAAAGTAGGGCGGATCTGGAGTCAGGGCTGGGGTTCTTCATCGGGCCCCGGGACCGGACCCGAGGCGGAAAAAGCTGCCCCTGGGGAAGGTTCGGGTGTTGCCAGAAGTGGCCTCGGCCCAAGGTGCCCCCCAGGGATCTCCACGGAGGCCCCCACGGCCTCCAGAGCACACCTTAGGCGATGCTTAAGAAAACTTAAGTTTTCGGCCAGAGTCTCGATTATTCTTAACGTTTTAATGTAAATCTTAAGTTTTTAATAGAGATGTTTGGTTTTTATTCAAGTTCTGAGACTATGAATTTCTTGACCCATGATTTCTTTAGCATTTCGCAGGGTGCACCCCTCACGAGGCCCAGAGGGCCCCAAGGGCTCCAGATTGAGCGAAAAGCTGGGGGCACATTTGGGCCAGGGGCACCTTGAGCAACCTCCGAGAGGAGTCGGGACCTTTGGGGCCACAGGGCACGAAAATCGGATCGGCGGATGTCAACACAGACGTCTGGCTGCTCCAATTGTTTCGATGCGTGGGCCCCGGAGGTCTGGATCAATTCCCCAGGGCCAGAATCGTGTTTTGACACTCCCGAGGCCCGGCGAGGGCCCCTGGAGGCCGAAAACTGCCAAAAGTTTGCTGCTCCAATTTTTGTTCGGAGCGTCGGATCCCTGGGAGAACGCGAGCATCAGGTCGGCGGATTCTTTTCTCCTCTTCACGCGGGTGCGGGGCACCAGCTGGCCGCTCGGCGGAGACGGAGCCGGTCCCGAGGCAGCGGTGGCCCGCACCGCGTGTGCTGGCCGGGCCTTTTCGGTCTGCTTCTCGTCGCCACAGCTGGGCCCGCCTCGGAAAACAGGCGAGCGACGCAAACAACGGGGTCCGACTGCGCCGACATGGGCGCGTAGGCTGCTCGCGTAATGCCGCGCGTAAGCGCTTTCGCTTCCAGCGTAGCGTACCGCGCTGGCGGCCCTCGTAAGCCACCGCGTAAGGTTGCTGTGTCATCTCGCGTAAGGCCCGTCTCGCTCAGGCTCAGAGATCCGACGCTCCCACCAAAATTGGAGCGGGCGGTATTTTGGCCGTTTTCGGCCTCCGAGGGCCCTCGCCAAGCCTCGGTCAAAAAACTGCCCGGGACGAAACACCGGCAGTGGTCCAGACCTCCAGGGCCCACGCATCGAAACAATTTGAGCAGCCGGATGTTCTGGGCTGGTTCCGTTTCGAAGAAACGGGTCAGGATGGATTCCTGGAGGACGGTCTCTGGCGGATGTCGGCTGGGCGGGAGAGCCTCCGTTGTGTCGGTCGGCATTGCTATGAAGGGGGTGCCCATCTTGCGCGTCGGAGCTGCTTCTCCCCAGCATGGGGGGCACGGAGGGTCTCAGATAGGCAGGGCCCGTGACCCATGACGATTCGATCCGATTCGATGCCGATTTCTGCCTGCCCGATCCGATTCGACCCCGGTGTTCCGACGATCCGATGAAGCCCGAAGCTTGCACATGACTGCTGTGCATCCTGGCGCGGCCGATTCGGGTCGCTTCGATTTCGACTCCGTGCCGATTCGGCCCGATCCGACATACGTTCCCTTCTAGTCCGATTCCCCGATTCGATGCTGACTGATCGATGCCGACTGATCCTGCATATAGTCAGGACGCTGAGCAATGGAAGAACAGGTCGGGTTCGGAAGTGGCTCGCTGTTCCTCCGGTCCTTATACGGATGTTCTTCTAGCGGTCCTCGTGCATCCAGGCGCTTTGGGACCAAAAAGGGGTTTCGTTCCTTATTCTGCGTTCATTGCCAGGCGCTTTCTTCGATGACGATGACTCCTCTGGCGCAGGGAGGCGCGGAAAACAAGCTGCACATAGAAGAGTCGCTGCTCCCGCTTTGTTATCCCCCACCAGTGGTCCGCCCCGAGAGGAGAAGAAGGTGGAGGAGGAGGAGGGGCAGGAAAAGGAGGAGGAGGAGGAGGAGGAGGAGGAGCAGGAGAAGAAGGAGTGCAGCAGCATCACTTGAGTCGGGACCACCCAATGCGCATGCACAGTCGATCGGTTACTGCTCGGCCCCCGATCCGCCGGGGTCGTTGCGTACGCGCTTCCTCCTATCGAGTATGGACCCGCTTTTCCCCAGCTCGTCCGCGGAGGCGCAGGAGGAGAATTCAAACAGCGCAAGCCCACGGACGAGGAGGAGGAGGAGGAGGAGGAGGAGGTCGACTCGACTCCTGGCACCGAGCATGGGGCAGTGTCCAAAGGGGGAGCCTCGTCAAGGCCGAGCCTGGAGGCCACCCAGTCCCGAGGAGCATCCGACGGGGCGGTGGCAGAGACCTTCCCCGCCCGCCACCGACGGAGCGGGTGCCCGCCACGCAGAGAGCTCAATCCGACCGCCGCTCTCGGCCGGCGGACCGACGGCCCGGACAAGTCCGGCGGGAGGGCGCTGCGACCCAAGGAGCTCCCAGGGTGACCGAGAGAACCACGTGCCGTGCCAAAAGATACACATTGTTCATGTCTAGTTCCTCGAGCGTTCTTTGTTTTTTTGGGGGGGGCCAAGATCCTTTCCATTCAAATTCTTCTACCCTGGGCCTCTTTCTGGCCACTGGGGGAGCCAGGAACACTCAGAGACGAGCACAATCAGAAATGTTCACGAATAGAAATGAAGGAGGAACCCTTTTCGTTGGGGAGGGGCTCCGCGTTCCTTAAGTGTTTCGCAGCTCGCCTCAGGTTTTCCTTATGTCTTCGATAGGAAACCGAAGTTTAACTTATGGAAAAAAAGGGGCCTCGCTCCTTATTTAGGGTTCCTTAGGTCAACGCCTCGACTGTACAGAGTCCCAACGAGAGCCCCCGTGGAGGGCGAGACGGGGCGGGGCCCCGAGGCCCGCGCGGGACTCGGGCTCTCCAGGGGCCCGAGGCCCGCCCGAGCCTCCCCGCTCGTCCCTGGCGGAGGGCCGCCGGGCGCTCTCGCGGCGCCGTCAGCTGCTGGAAAATGCAGCATGTCCATCGGGGGTGAGCAGACCTCCTAACAGTGACACGTCGATTAGTGAATTGTCCGTTTTCGGTTCTCGAAAGGGCGCCGCGGTCGTTATTCTCCAGGCTTGCGCCCGCCAGGTTTGGGCCCGAGGTCGTTTTCACTAAACCACGTTTTACTAACGGGAGGTCTGTCCATCCCCGAGTCCATTACCAGTGGCGGGCTGCTTTTCAATCCCAGGATTTCTAGGGGGTCGGGGGCGACGTCGGGGTGGTGTGGTGTCTTCTTGTTTCCCCTTTTCCCCAGGGAAGCAACGAAACATGTATACACCAGAGTCCCGTAGACACCATGATCCGCTTTCCTGCGCAAATTTCAGTGCAGGGCCAGAGAAAGCGTCGGTGTATAGAGCTCGGTTCCCGAATCAACCGTGCCAGCACAGTCCACACTGGAGAATGTAAGTCGGGCCTGTCCCTCTACAGGGGGAAAATCCAACAATAGTCAGAGCATTGTCAGGGGACGCTCATTATTCTTCTTAGTATTATTAGTATTCGTAGTAGTAATAGTATTGTTCGCATTGATAGTCTTAATATCGTTAGTAGCATAACTCTGATTCTTGTTATCATTAGCAATATTATGATTGATACTAGTATTATCAGTTGGGGGTCTGTTTTTGGTATGTTTAATTTGTTCGCCAACAATCCGCCTGTAGGGGGACATGCCAGACCTGAATGTAGAGCTGAGCGTCCAGGCTCAGCATTGCATTCAGCACTAGCCCGAGAATGGCAAAGTCCTCTTCATCACGGGCTGCCTGGAGGGGTGCCTCGGACATTGGCACCACCCCCCAGTGGGCGAGTGTCACCACCCCATTCCCGTCCGTTACCACCACCGCCAATCCCGCCACCCCACGACGCAGGATGTGGCCGTCGTCAGCCGACCCATCTGGAAAGACGTGCCAGCCCTCGCCCAACAACACACCGTCGTGGGGCAAAGTGAGGCGGTGGAGGCAGCAGGAGGTGGGGTCGGGGGCCCTGCGGAGAACCAGGAGGAAGGGCCAGGGAAGCGTCCCCGAGCAGAGAGCTCCTGGGCCCGACTCACCGCCGACTCCAGCAGCACCACCGACTCCGGCAGCCTCGCCGACCCCCGGCAGCGCCGCCGGCTCCAGCACCGCCGACTCCGGCAGCAGCGCCGCCGCCTCCAGCCCCACCGACTCAAGCAGCACCGCCGACTCCTGCAGCAACGCCGCCGCCTTCAGCACCACCGACTCCAGCGGCGCCCTCCGGCAGAAGCGCCAAAGACCACAGCTGCACCACCACCGACCCCAGCAGCACCACCCACTCCAGCAGCGACGCCTGTGGGGACGTCTGCACCCACGCCGACGCCGAGGTCTTCACCGACGGCACCACAGCCCCTGGCATTGATGCCAGCACCGACGCCCGGCGGCGACGCCAGCGCGGGCACCAGCACGCCCTCCAGCATCGACGCCGACATCGTCGCTGACAGCGACGCCAACGTCGACGTCAGCACCAGCGCCAGCACGGCCTCCAGCATTGATTGATGCCAACGCCCACGCCTGCAGCCTCGCCAATGTCGACCGAAGCCAGCCGACGCTCCCGAAACCTGCCCGCTGACTACGCGTCAGCCCCGTGCCACGCCCAGCGAGACTGCAAAATGGTCACCCTCCAGGAGCGGGCGGCCTCCAGACCTTTGCAGCCACTCTTGCCCGCCGCGGCCAGGTCACCGCCACCGACGTGGCCTTCGAGTGGGCTGCGCTCGATTCGCCGCCCTAGCACCCGCAGTCCCCCTGCATGCACACTGCAGGAGACCCGCGGTGGGCGCGTCTCCTAGAGGACGTCGCTAACCCGAAGGAGACCAGCCCCGCCTGCTGGGGCTCCCACCACATCCCATGTCAGGCCAGCTGGCCCTGGACAGAATATTATGGGCATCCGTTGGCGAAAGCGACTCGCGGCAGGGCTCCGACGACGCCGCCTCGCTTGCCATTGACGCCTTCCCCGAAGACCGCCCCCGCGAATACCGACGGACCGCGACCGCGACAGGTGCACTGCGCTGCCGCACGACGACATGCCCCACGCTCTCCCCGACGCCCCGACCCCCGAACAGCAGACTGACGACCAGCAGAACACCGACCAGCAGTCCACGGCCGACCGCCCAGCAGACGACCGCAGAGCAGACCAGCGACCAGCGGACTACCGACCAGCACACACGCAGTACGATGGCCACCACAATTGCCAGAACGATTACTACCACGAATCACCAAGACAGGCACAAAGACGGTCACCGCGATTGCCATCAGACATTACGACAGTTACTACGGCAGCAACAAGCGCCACGATAACCACCACGCCAGCCACCAACCACCACGACAGCCACCACGACAGCTACTACAGACACGCACAATACGGCGACTACCACGACAGTCACGACAGCATCCCTTACGTTCAAGCACACCATGGCTGCCACCACGATGGCCACAACAGTTGCGACAGCGACAGTTTACGTGCACGCACACCACGGCGGATACTACGACAGCCAGGAGGAGGAGGAGGAGGTGGATGAGGGGGAGGTGGAGGAGGAGGAGGAGGAAGAACAGGAGGAGGAGGAGGAGGAGGGGAAGAGCAGTAAGAGGAGGAGGACCAAGATGAGGGCAATCTATGACCGACCGAGAAGCGAGCTCAACGTAAGTCATAGTAGGACGAGAAGGACGATGGAGGGAAGGGAAGGAGAGGGGAGAAGGAGGCGGAGGAGGAGGAGGATGGTGGTGATGGTGATGTCGATGATGATGATGATGTTTATGATGCTCCTGATGATGATGCTGGTGATGATGCTGATGATGATGTTGATGAGGCTGATGATGAGTATGATTATGATGACGATGAGACTGATGATGATGATGATGGTGATGATGGTGAGGATGATGATGATGCTGCTGTTGGTGTTTATGCTGATGATGATGTTGATGATGCTGATGCTGCTGATGATGATGATGGTGGCGGTGTTGATGACGATGACGATGACGATGGCGATGACGATGATGAGGATTATGATGATGCTGCTGATGATGCTGATCATGATGGTGATTGCGATGATGATGATGATGATGATGATGATGATGATGATGATGATGATGATGATGATGATGATGATGATGATGGTGGTGATCCTGGTGATGATGATGGACAAGGAAGATGAGGCTGGCGATAATGCTGCTGATGATGCTGATAATGATGATTCTGGCGATGATGATGATGATGATGATGATGGTGCTGCTGCTGGTGATGATGCTTATGATGATGATGATGAGGAGGAGGAGGAGGAGGAGGAGGAGGAGGAGGAGAGGAGAACGATGAGGAGGACGAGGAGGAGGAGGAGGAGGACGAGGAGGAGGACGAGGAGCAGGAGGAGGGGAGGGAGGAGCAGGAGGAGGGGAAGAGTGCGAAAGGGGTGGAGGGCTGCCAGGGATCCGGCGAGTTGCGCGGCTTCGCGGCGGAGACCGCGCGCCAGGCCGGGGCCTTCTCGCGCGGGGGTCCGGGAGGGGAAGAAGCCAGGGGCCTTGGGGCACCGTTCGGCGGTGAGCCCGGGGGGGAAGTGAGAAGGGGAAGGCCTTCTCTCAAGCAGTAGCGAAGCGTCCTGGCTCGCCTAGAGCCCTACCAAAGAATGTTCTAAGAACCTTTTGTGGTTTCCAGGAAATGTTCTTAGAACATTTCTGGCTGGGACCGTCCTGTTTTAACACATCGGGAATATGTTCTAAGAACATTGTTTTTGTTCTTGGGACATGCTTGGGTTCTGAGAACATGTCTTGATATGACTATAGGAATGCCGGGACGGTCGGTCCCTGCTCAAATCTCAGCAGGCTCGGAAGTCCCCCAGCCTTCTGACAAGGTCTCTAAGCGTCCCCGAGGTCACAGAGCGTTTCTCGGGAAGCCGCGAGGGCTTCTGAGAAGTCCCCGCCGCCATCTGAGAAGGCCTTCTCCTTCTCACTTCCCGCTTTCGGTCGACGCCGATCTGGGGCGCCGCACATCCATCTCCGAAATCAGGCGCAAGTTCTTCCCATGACCACGGCGTGGCGACGCCCCGGACTCCCCATTTCAATGTTGACGCCGAAATTGGCGACTGCAATTTCTTCGCTGACCCCGCGGGCCGCATTGCGCGCGTCGATCGGCATAGAATTTCGGGAGCGAGGGGGTTGGATCAAATCTTGCGTTTGATTTCGAGGAGGGTTGTAGGACCCATCGACGAAGAATGTGCCCGAAGATTTCGTGTCGCACGATCCTCGTCGTACGAGTCAACTGTAGGCTCAGGGGTTCGAGGTTAGAGGCTGTCGGACGTTTTAGTCGGTTCCCGGCTGTTTTCCAATCTCTGGATGTTTTCCAGCAGTTGCGCTTCGCCGAGAGCGATCCCGGGGTGCCTCGATCGTCCCGAACGGCTGCCGCAGAGCCGAGTTATGACCCGAAATACCAGGGAAACGTCGGGGGGGGGAGTGTATCTGCTCAGGGTGGGTTGCATCGAGTTTCAATCGCCCATTGATCGGCGATAGGGGCCCGCTAGCCCACCCCGCCCAGGAACGTCTGGGTTCGCTATCGGGGGTCGATCGACGATCTGTCGGCGATGTACCGCCGGCTCCAGCTCGATGCTTCCCCCCTTGCGGCTGTTTCTCCCTAACGTTCAACATCACGAAGATGTGGTCGTCGCGACGGCTTGACGCTGCTCGAAGAAACGCTGCCAGGATGCTTCTGTCGGTGGGGTGTTCTGTGGCCCTTCTTTAGCAGCCTGGAGGGCCGCCATGAAGAGGTTGGCGACGACGGCTTGTGGAGTGCATGCTCCATCTTTGCAGGGCAGAACTCGAAGAAGAGACAACTACATGAACATAAATCAGGGGGAAAAAACACACAAGACACAATTGACCGTCGACTCCCAGGAATATGTAGGAAAATATGGGAAGTGTGGGGGGGGGAATGCGAAAACCAAGGAAGTATATGAAGATATGGGGGATCCTGTTATGTGCGTGTATTTACTTGTGTGTCCCTGGACCTTAGTGGGCCCTAGAAACGACAGGGCCGTTTTTTTACCGGTTCCGTTTTGCAGTTTTTTTGCCGGTTCCGACGCCGTTTTTTTACCGGTTCCGTCGCCGTTTTTTGACCGGTTCCGGCTCCGGGTCCAATCCTGAAGCCGTTTTTGTTGCCGTTCCCGGTCGCCGTCTTTTTGCCGTTTCCATGTTCAAGGGACATTTTTTCGGAAACGGTGACCAAACGGCCCTGCCGTTTCCGGGGCCCACTAAGCCTTGGACCCCTCCAGTAAAGTGTGGAAGCTCCGCGCAGACGTCTTGGATCGGCGCCAGACCCAATTTATCGCCGACTCCCAGGAATGTATAGGAAAATCTGGGAAGTGGGGGGGGGGAATACGCGAAAATCCACAACATATCTGAAAATATGGGGAATCCTGTTATTTGTGTGTGTGTGTTTATTTACTGGTGTGTCCCTGGGCCCCTGCAGTACATAAAGTGTGGAAGCTCCGCGCAGACGTCTTGGATCGGAAAATATCGGGAAAAATTGGGAATCCTGTTATTTTTGTGTATTTCTTTGTGTGGCCAAAAATTGTATTATTTTTTGTTATGTTTGTGTATTTTGGTTATCCTGTTATTTTTGTGTATTTATTTTATTTTTTTGTGTATTTCTGTGTTGGACCCCTCCAGCAAAGCTTGGAAGCTCCGCGCAGACCTCTTGGGACCCTTCTCCCCTTGCGCGCGAAGCGCGCCAGGGAGGGAGAACGCTGCCAGCCCAGGACGTCTGCGCGGACCTGCGAAGGGCCATGTTCAAGTCGGGCCTGTCCCTCTACAGGAGGAAGAGTCGAAGATAGTAAAAAAAATGCTCTGGGGAAGATGGTTTATTGTAGTGGCCTCTGGCCAGTGCCGCCGATCCGGGGCGCTCCGGGTGCCTGTGGAAATGAACGACGTCGAGGAAGACAAAAACGACAAAGAAAACGAATACGTCGACGACGACGACGACGAGAGCGACGACGACAACGACCACGACGACGACGACGACGACGGCGATGACGACGACGGCGACGCGAGCGACGACGACGACGACGATGACGCGAGCGACGACGACGACGATTATTGTTGGAGCCAGGGAGGGAACGCTGTCGACCCGGGAGCCCGCGCGGACCTCCGAGGGGTTGTGCTCAAGTCGGGCCTGTCCCTCGACAGGAGGAAGGTTCGAAGATAGTAGAAAAAATGCTCCGGGGAAGATTTGTTGTTTCTTTGATTCTTGGTGGAGCATGGTTGAACATTTGTCGCCCAACGTCCGCCTGTAGGGGAGCATGTCCGACCTGAGGCTATGCTGATGACTGCTTTGTTCTTGTGGGAGCAGTTGACAAGGCCAGGGGGCAATGTTCTCGACTGCGGTCGGCCGAGGCTCTGTCTGCCAGCGGAGCGCCACGCAGGAGGGCGGCAGGAAGATGGTGATGGGGGTCCCGGACTGCAGTTGCAGTCGACCGCGAAGCATTTAATCCCCCAGACCACCCGACGAGGCGAGAAGACGACCCTGCTTCGGGCATCGCGGCCTGCGTTGGAGAACCGCCCTTGCTCATCCCTCTCCAGGACGACGGCGCGAGTGCGGCAAACGCAGCGCGCGCCGCGCATCGCGGGGCGCGAGGCGCGGAGCTCGATGGCCAGGGACTGAGCACAACGCTGTTTAGCTTGGTGTTGGCCTTTGCTGTGCTGTTCGTTTCCTTGCTCGCTGTTGCTCAGTGGGGCTCTTCGTTTTTAAGCGTTCGGCTCTGTTTCGCTGCTCGTTCTAAACGCCAGCGCATTTTCAAAATCGTTGTCCTCAGTCGCTTTATATGGTCTAGATAAACTTAGTGTTTCGGAGGTCCGCGCGGACATCTTGGATCGGCGCTGGATCCCCCCCCCTGGCGGCCCCTCCTGTGCCGCCCCCGTCGCCCTCCGCACGCCAGGGAGAGTGATCCAGCGCCGACCCAAGAGATCCTCGTGGACCTCCACAAGCGTCCGTGCTCGGTGCGGGTGCGTGTGTTGCTTCTGTGCAGGGAACCGCGGCCCAGCTGGAAGGGGCCGCGGAGGGGCTGCTGTCTGGCCATGCCTCCCAGCAGCGTCACCGCACGCGGTAGCTTCCACTCCTTCGGATGTTGGACAGCGGTGGCGTTGTATGCATGCGTGGTGCCGTCGTGCATCCTGGCGCGGTCGATTCGATTCGATTCCGACTCCATGCCGATTCGGCCCGATTTCATGCATGTGTTGGATCGATGTGGTTTAGCAATTTGATGTTGATCTCCCATGCCACTAGCCATCGCTAAACTCCTCATCCTCATCGTGATTGGTTTGCTCGTCATCCCTCTGATCTTCCTCGCACTCCTCGTCGTCCTCAGTTTTGATCCGGTCGTCGACTAGACGTCCTGCAAGTTTCCTCGGCATTGACGGCTTGCGTCGTCGTTGGCCGCATCGTCATAGTCTTGTTTATGCTCGTTCTCCTCACCCTCCTGAAACGATTGGCTGCTAGGCTTCTGACTGCTTTTTCGGTGCGACATGCACCATCCTTCCGTTGTACTTCGAATGTACCTCACCGGTCGTTCGAATAGTAGCGATAACGTGTCTTGTGTCTGATTGATACTGCTGCCTATCGGCAGGTCTCTGGTGACCTCACGACGCTCAGTGATCTTTTGATTGCATGTGTGCATTGCTTCACTTGGTGCCTTCGGGGAGCTCATAATACATCCTCTCATGCGTCCGTTTGCGAGTTTTCTCAACACCTGCGATCCACAGGTCCACTGTCTGCACGCAACCAGTTTGCTGAAGCGATTGGCTCAGGCATTCGGCTTCACTTGCTGTGCCAATGTCCCAAGCTCCTGCCGAGCTGAAAATGACAATCACCGACAGGCTTCGCAGGGTGGACGCTCAGGCGGAGGCCTGGATTCTGGAGGCTGATGCCGAGCTGCAGGCGCGCTGGCGCAAAGAACTGGAGCCCTACGCCCCCATTCTGAGGGAGTACGGACGGCAGACCTCGGCCAGCGTCCTTGGCACTCGGAGCGCCCCTGCGGCTGACCGCGCACCTTCCAGCGCATCTTCGGGACGAAAACAGCGGCCCGAGCATGAACTGTCCGAGGTCCGCGCGGACTTGAGTGATCTGCGCTGGACCCCCCTCCCTGGCGTGTGCATCGCGCCAGGGGCGTCGCTGAGGCCGCCGTGGGGTCCAGCGCCGACCCCAGACATCCGCGCAGACCTTCGAGAGTATGTGCCCCTGTTGTTTTTGCCCCGCTGGCCTCGGAGGCCGTGCAGAGAGAGCTGCAGCGCCGGGCTCTTCTGTATGCCGAGCCTGTGCTGGACCCCTTCCTCGACGGCCTGGCCGAGCCCATCAGGCGCGCGGTGCCGTGGCTCATCGGCGGCGTCGTCGCGTACGGCGCCTCGTGCCTCGGCATGGGCTTCTTGCTGGGCCGCCGGCAGGGACAGCTCGACCGCACGCGGGAGGGGTGAGCCGACTGCACGTGCGAGTGGCCGTTCGCAGGAGTGATCGCTGGTACGGGCCCGCTTGGGCTGGAGGCGACGATGGGGGCGAACCGCCAGAGCCCAGGGGCGGGAATTATACACGCATTCATCCGGGAACCTCGCCGAAGACATCGGCCATCCGCGCATCAGTCGGGGATCCCCAGATGGGGTGGTGACCACACCGTGCGGTGAGTCGGTGGGGGCTCAGGGTCACCGCACGGTTTTGGGACTCGGGTCGTTCTCCGAGGATGACTCGGGCTACAGGGGCCTCGGGGGTCCCGAGACCGTGCGGTGACGGACCGTACGGTGAGGTCTTGGGGGATTTCGAGGTCACCGCACGGTCTGTCACCGCACCGCTTCGGGATTCAAAATTTAGGAGACACGTAGCGCTCCTCCCTCGGCTGTTCGCCCTTCTCGTCGCCACGGTCGGGTCTCCCGAATCGCTGAGCGCGGTGCGACAGGCAGCGGCTTGTGTGCCTCGGGTCTGGCCCTCCCCCCCCCCCCCGCGCCCCCCTTCAGTCGAGGCGCTGAAGCGAGGACCGCTGTGCGCTTAGGATGGCCTCTGGGGTTCAGGTCGCTCCTCAGGTGTAGGTCGGGAGACCTCTTCGTGGCCGAGGCTCGCCGTGGCCAAAAAAGTCCCATTCGTTCCTCATTCGGCATTCTTTGCGGTCGCACGATGCCCGTGTGTATATATATATATATATATATATATATTCCTCTTCCTATATTTTTAGAAGCCCGGGCGGTGGGAAAACCCGTCCCCCCCCCCTAAAACCTGACCCCTGGGATCTGGGGCTTTGGGGTCCTCCGGACGGGCCTCGAAGCGGCCCCCTGGGCCTCGCAGGGCGTTTTGCCAAGCCTTCGCAGCACACCCAGGGCGATCAGGGGGGTCGCCGGAGACGTCCCAGAGACCCCCGAGACAGCACAAGACCGCTCCAAGTAGCCGTCATACCCCGAAAGATCGCTCCAAAACGTATCAATAGGCCTCCAAGAGCACCCCCAAGAAAGCCCCAAGAGGGAAACATAATTTAATTTCTTTTGGTTTTTGGTGCATTTGTGGTTCTCCTCTTTTCGGCTTCCCGACACTCCAAGACGGCGGTCTCCTAGGCGTCCGAAGCCGCCTGGGAGGCTCCAAAATCGCTCCACAACTATCCGAAAGGGCTTCCAGGCAGTCCAAGAGAGCCCCAAAACGGCACAACAGGGGTCCAAAATGGCCCTAAGAGAGTACCATGGCGGCCCAAGATGGCCCCAAGACACCCTCCGAAGCATTCCAATTCGTGACTGGGGCGTTCAGGGAGACCGCGGTTAGAGACAGGTTGGCCTTAGGAAGGCCCAGAGGCCCCCAGAACACACCCAGGAGGCCTCCAGAAGGCTTTAAGAAAGCCTTAGAACTTTGGTGAGGCCCCCAGAGGCTCTCCAAGGAGGAGCCTTCGCAAAAAGAGCTGAGGAGGATGGGGAGAATGCCCAGGGTATGGCGATAATGAAAATAAGCATGGAGGAAGGGCAACGAACAGCATTAGTATAACGGCGATGCCAGAAAAGGCAGCAAGGAGTTATCGCTAAATTGTCGGCTTGACCTTCCTGCCATTTCCGCCTGCATACCAAACTCGAAGGACCAAGGTGCATGGCGCGAAGCGCCACTGCAGTCTTGTATATATATATATATATATATATATATATATATACATATATATATATATATATATGTATTCCTCTTCCTATATTTTTACAAGCCCGGGCGGCCGCAAAACCCCGCACCCCCCCCCCCCAAACCGGACTCCTGGGATCCTGGGACTTTGGGACCCTCCGGACGCCCATTGAAGCGGTCCCGAGTGCCTCAAGAGCGCTCCAAGACAGGCACAAAGCGCTCCAAGACGCCAAAGATAGCCCCAAGACAGCCTCAGGAGCCCCCAAGACGCCCCAAGCGGCCCCAAAGAAGCCCCCCAAGACGGCCCCGGGAGGCCGAAATGGTCAATTTTCCAATGTGTTTTTCGATGTTTTCTGCTTTCTCGCCATTTTAGCTTTCCGACGCTCCAAGACAGAACTAGAGGCCCTCAAGAGCGCCCCAAGATGGCCCGGGGGGCCCCCAAAACGGCCCCAACACGGCCCCAAGACGGCTCTGGAGCGCCCCGAAACAGCCCAAGAGGCGCCCAAGAAGGCCCAAGAGGGCCCCGAGAAAGCTTCAAACGAGCCCCCACAGGGCGATCAAAAGTTCAAACATCTAACTTTCCGCCCCAAGTGGGCCCCAGGAGGCCCCAGGAGGGCCCCAAGAGGCCCCAAGAGGCTTCCAAAGGCCCCGAGGACTCCCAAAAAGAACCCACGAGGCCCCAAAATGGCTCTCCAAAAGGCAGCCAAAACGGCCCCCCAAGAGGCTTCAAAACTGCTGAATCGCCCCACTTGACCGCCACCTCCGGAACGGCTTCGCTGCGCTGCTCCGTTGTTTGCCAGACAGTGGCATCCCACGCAAAACACCAAAATGCTTGAAATCCCGGATTCGCAACCAAATTCCCGGGAAATCGGCTGCGAACCCGGGATTCGGCACATTTCCCCGGAATTCGGTAGATGTCCTTAGCATTTCCAGGATCCGGTACGTTGCCTGCATGCTTGCTGCCCTATGGCCTATCGCATCCCAGAATAATCGTTCCATGGAGGTTTCACGAGGGCCCTGCCAAGTCATTAAGGAAACATTGTTTTCCACACGTGTTCGCACACATGCATCCGTAGCCGTTGGCTTACATTTTTAAGCTGTCGCATACGGCACATCCTCGATGTCTGTATTCGCTTGCTTCGATTGTGGCGAGACCCTGCCTGCAGAATCATTCTCCACAACACAACTTCAGCAGTCCAATCGGGCTTGCAAGTCGTGTGCCAGTCGACGGGAAACACAGTCACGGTCAGCCCCCCAACACAAAAACAATCAATGCACTCGTTGCGGGGACATGCACGATCGAACTCACTTCAGCCCTTGCCAGCTGCACCGATCCACTCGGACGTGCAATGCGTGCGCCACTGACGGCCGTCCGACGGAGAGCTCTGGGACAGGACCCACTTCGACGCGAGGCACCTCAAAGCACGCAGCACTACGCGGGTTTGCAATTCCTGCGCCTCGCCCACTGGTAGTACTTCCACGCTCACAGACTGCAAGTCCCTATCGCTGGGGCTCCGAGACTGCATTTGTAGCCACTGCGGTGTCGCCCGGTTCTCTTCGGAGCACGCGGGTTTCTGCTGTCAGTTCGGAAGGCATCTCCGTTTGTCTCACCCCCATGCGCAAGTCGAGACAGCACGCCGCCCCAATGCGTGCCTTACCCTTACCTTACCTCATGATATTCCTCCCTTCGCCGCGCCTCCCCAAATCGTCCTCCACTTCTTTCCCGCCCCTTCTGTCCGACGTTTTGTATTTCCGGAGCCTCCACGGCCGCTCTCATCGCTGCTGATCGGTCCGCTGGGACATTCTCATGGAGTCCCAGTGGCGCGCGGACCAGCAGAGCGAGGGCGCGAGCAAGTAAGGTGCAGGTCCGGGAACTGGGCGCGAACCAACCGCGGTTCAAAGACCGTGGAGGGCCGGGCTAGACGCCAACGCGCGCAAGGGTTGAAGGACCAAGGTGCATGGCGCGAAGCGCCAATGCGGTCTTGCATATATATATATATATATATATATATATATATGTATATATATGTATATATACACATATATTCCTCTTCCTATATTTTTATAAGCCCGGGCGGGGGGAAACCCATCCCCCCCCCACCCTAAAATTGGACCCCCGGGATCTGCAGCTTTGGGACCTTCCGGACGGGCCTCGAAGCGGCCCCTGGGCCTCGCGGGGCGTTTTGCCAAGCCTTCTGCAGTCTTGTATATATATATATATATATATATATATATATATATATATATATATACGCACAAGACTGCAGTGGCGCTTCGCGCAATGCACCTTGGTCCTTGAAGTTTGGCATGCAGGCAGAAATGGCAGGAAGGTCAAGCCGACAATTTAGCGATAACTCCTGGCTGCCTTCTCTGGCATCGCCGTTATATTACTGTAACGTTGTTCGTTATCCCTCCTCCATGGTTATTTTTCCTCATTCTCGCCATGCCCTGGGCATTCTCCCCATCCTCCTCAGCTCTTTTTGGGGAGGCTCCTCCTTGGAGAGCCTCTGGGGGCCTCACCAAAGTTTTCAGGCTATCTTAAAGCCTTCTGGAGGCCCCCTGGGCGTGTTCTGGGGGCCTCTGGGGCTTCCTAAAGCCAACCTGCCTCTAACCGCGGTCTCCCTGAACGCCCCGGTCACGATTTGGAATGCTTCGGAGGGTGTCTTGGGGCCATCTTGGGTCGCCATGGGACCCTCTGAGGGCCATCTCGGACCCCTGTTGTGCCATTTTGGGGCTCTCTTGGACTGCCTGGAAGCCCTTTGGGATGGTTGTGGGGCGATTTGGGAGCCTCCCAGGCGGCTTCGGACGCCCAGAAGACCGCCGTCTTGGAGCGTCGGGAAGCCGAAAAGAGAACCCCAAATTCACCGAAAACCTAAATCAATGAGTTTTCCCTCTTGTGGCCTTCTTGGGGGTGCTCTTGGAGGCCTCTTGGTACGTTTTGGAGCGATTTTTCGGGGGGTGACGGCTTCTTGGAGCGCTCTTGTGCTGTCTTGGGGGTCTCTGGGACGTCTCCGATGACCCCCCTGATCGCCCTAGGTGTGCTGCGCAGGCTTGGCAAAACGCCCTGCGAGGCCCGGGGAGCTACTTCGAGGCCCGTCTGGAGGACCCCAAAGCCCCAGATCCCGGGAGTCCGGTTTTTGGGGGGATGGGGGGGGGGTCCCCCCGCCTGGGCTTGTAAAAATATATGAGAAGAGGAGCATGTGTATAAATATACATACAAACAGATTCATCAGTGTTTAACTATTTAATTAAGTATCGTGGAGTGTTGGTACATACATATGTACATATATGTATATATACACATAACTATATATGCATACATATATGTATACATATACACATCTATATTCATACGTACATATATATATATATATATGCAT